TTCACCGTACACGGCTTGCCATTCTTAATTAATCGAAAGCCAAATGTTCACTTGCAAACTTATAAAAAATTAACTATCAAAAGCCAAGTGTTTACTTGCATACTCATTCAAAATCTTTTCCAAAACAGACTTCTTCTCTTTGTTATCTCGCCGCTGTTGGCCACAGTGACGAACTCTTTACATTTCCAGCGGATAAAGCGCGCTATATAAATTCGGTGTTCATTGTTGGGGCGGACTTGTTCACGGGAACATATCCGTAAACCAGAATTGTTCAACTCAGAAACCCAGCACACAACAATTCGCTGGTCTAAATTCAGTGTTCATTGCTGGAGCGGATTTGTTCACGGGAACATCTCCGTAAACCAGAATGTTCAACTCAGAAACCCAGCACACAACAAATCGCTGGTATAAATTTAGTGTTCATTGCTAGAGCGGACTTGTTCACGGGAACATATCCGTAAACTAGAATGTTCAACTCAGAAACCCAGCACACAACAAATCGCTGGTCTAAATCTTGTGTTCATTGCTGGAGCAGACTTGTTCACGGGAACATATCCGTAAACCAGAATGTTCATCTTAAAAATCCAACAACTACATTGGTCATTACGCAATAACGTGGTCGTTGTCGGAGCAGATGCGTTAATGCATACTCGTCTGTAAACCAAAATGATCATTAGAAAACCTAGCTAACTTATCGCTGGTCCCAACTCTAATATAGTTGAACTTTGGAAACGAACCAATCAATGACAGCATGCCTCAAAACCAGAACAACCATTGTCCCAACTCTAATCGCTATCTCAAATAATGCAAGGCAAAAATGACGCTGAACAAAAGGATAAACACCATCCAAGCTTAATCAAATGCTAAGTCTGAAGTCAGAAATACAACAAATTGCTAAAACAAAAACAAAAAACAACTAAGACACGGTCTCGTCAACGTCGTCAACAATCTCGATGGCCTGCTCAGAAGGAATTGTTGCCCCAAATTTTGACAAATCATCATCGCTTGACGAATCAGAAGAACTCGAATCCGAGTCAGCCTCCTCTTCAACGACATCAGCGTTTAATTCCTCAACTCGATCATCAGTCGTGCTAACAAGCGAATCACTAAGAATATCTTCAAGCTCGCGCACATGCTTAGCAAACACCTCATCTGCAAGTAATAGGTTTGCCTCCTGTTTCTCAAGGTCAACGAGCTCTTAACAAAGATCAGGCGCCTTATCACTCCAAAGAAACCTTACGAACTCAATGTTACTGCAGACTTTATGAACCCTCGGTTGGCCATTGATCATTCTGATGTTCTCTTTAGCGCGACCGATCTTCTTCTCGATCCTCAACCTAGTTCGACCATTTACAAAGCTTCACCTTGCCAGGAACAACTTCTTCACTTTGTAATTTCACCAAGCTCTGACTTCGCAAAATCTACTTCAATTATTCAAGTCGATGACTTCGCCCCAGTTTTGCCACCATCAAATCCACTTCGCTCGAACTCGTTGAGTGAAAAGATGAATTCATCGTCTTCAAACTCGTCGTCAACATAAGGTCACCTTGTCGACGTCAACACGATTCCACCTCAGTGTCCAGTCAACACAAGTCCACATTTGCTTCAAGTAAACACGACCACTTCATTGCCAATACGAGTCGACCTCGGCGTCGGATCCACAAATTAACCTCGCATCGTTGTATCATCACCTCGTCGCCAAATATCTTCGGATTCAACTTATCATCGAGTCTCTCCACTCCACGACGAGCCCGATCACCTTCGTCGATCACCTCGTCGACTTCACATCATCTTCTTCATCTCGATGGTCAATCACATCGTCAATCAATCACCTCGTCAACTTTGCGTCATCGATCAATCACCTCGTCAATGTCGATGTTTATGGGACCTTATCGCAATTCACCTCGTGATGTCATCATCGTCTCCACCTCGCAACGCAGGCTTCTCTCGGTCGCTGATCTCATCACAGTTCGCCTTGCGACGCCGATGTCCTCTCCACCGCATGATCCAAGCTTCTCTGCTTCGCTAAAGCAAACCTCGATCTCGCCTCGCCGTTGGCTTCCACTTCGCCGATTGAATCTCACCTCGTCATGTCCACCATGCAATGCCGTCGTCTTCTCCTTGTCGCGATGTAAGTCCATCCACCTCGCCGGACCGAGTCATCACGAGACACCGCTGGCATGGACCTTCTTGCTGTGTGGAATCCTCGTCGCGAAGACCTTGCCATCAACTAATGCCACCTAGCAGGAAAAACTGCAATCTCATTGCTAACCTCATCGAGCGCATCTAGAGCATTAGGTTAGGCCGGTCTCGTCAAGCTACCAGTGTTAAACTCAGGAGAAAGAACCATTCTCCTGCCAAGAAGCAAAGTATCGTTGACAATCTCTCCGGAATCATCTAAGTCTAGAATAGTCTTCTTGTTGTCCTTATCGCGCGAACGGTCTCCCTGTTGTCCTTATCGCGCGAACGATCTCCTTGCAATCCTTATCGCACGAAAGGTCATGCTGCGAGTCCATAGAATTGGAAAGCTTTTTTGATTTTCAATTCACCTCTTCGCTGCACCAAAGAACAACGATTTGAGTTAGTGTCGCTCCGCGAAGCTAGCCTTATTACTGAGTCGTTGAATCACCGAGTCACTGAGTCGCTGAGTTTAAAAAAAAAATCTC